GGCCTACTCTATCTTAGGTGATAGAGATTAAAGTCCTTTATAACAATTTATTTTCTTAGCATCTTAAGAGCTTCTCTTAATATATAAAGAGTTTTAGTCTCTTATGCCTTTAAATAAGTGATTTAATAATAGTATACGTTATAAATATTAATTATCTATATAAGGTCTATATTTAGATTTATTAGTTTATTTTGGACCTATAAAGTAATTATTATAAGGTCTTTTGAATAGTATGTTTCTAATTACTTATTTATATAGATTCTCTTATTAATATATATACTTACTCTTGAATCCTTGTGTCTTTAGTCACTTATGTAAAATAAGCTCTGCTTAAGATTATATAGCATAGCATTAAATAGGTTTCTTTATAGTTCTTAAACTACTATAATATTGTATAAAGCTACTAAGCTTATAAAGACCTTTATACAAGACTTATTAATATTATATTATAAGATCTTAAGGTTTTAAGTTTATATTATACGTTTTATTATTCTTTTATTTCTAAGGTAGTTTAGCTTCCTCTAAAGAGGGATTAAATATTATAACTCTATATAAGGTCTTCTTTTAGCTTATTTCTTAAGCCTGCTAGTCAGCCTTATGCTAGCTTTCTCTTACATATCTTTTTAACCTAAGTTTATTCTTTGTCATTAAGTTATAAACACTAATATTAATTAGACCTTCTTCTTTTTAGGCTAATTTATAAGTCTCTTAAATATTATATAATTCTAATAATATTATTTTATAATTAAAGCATATATAAAATCAGATTATTAGATATTAAGGAAGCTCTCTAACTAGTGTTTTTTTAGCTATAAAGCAATTAGTAAAGGGTACAGAGCTAATTACTTATTAAATAATCCTTTTGTATAAGAAGGTCTATACACTTTACAAGGCTAATAAGGCCCTTACAAAGCGTCAGAGGGCTAAAAAGACACACGTACAAGCTAGAGGTGCACTTACTATAGAGGATGCACATAGTTTAATCAAGCAGAAAGAGATTGTACGACTGCAGTTGAGTAGAAGGTTGGTAGAAGAGGGTGTCGCCCAGACTAGGTCATCAGGCTTACAGCGTTGTGGGAGATGTGGCAAGACCAACCATAATATACGAACCTGTCAGGAGGTTGAAGAGACATCTGAGGAAGATAGCGATGTAGAAGATAATTGATTTTCTTGTGTTGTGGTTGCGTACGATAGTCAGAAGGTCGCGATGTAGAAGAAAAGTGGGCGGGTTGCTTGTATGGGCGGGTTGCTTATGAACCACGTTACGCGTTTTGTATTAATCTTGTATATATTTTTGGTATTTGCGTTTCGCGCTATTTCGCTTGATATAGCAGCTTTGTATGTATAAATACACGCCTCTCGTACTGAATTAGATAGAACAACTTGCTATTTATACACCATCCACTTGATTAGTCAGCACAGTTCATCAGGATACTTTGCCGGCATTAGAAAGTTGGGATGTGACGACTTAGTGTATTATGGCAGGGCAAAAAATACAATTATCCAGAGGCACCAGAGTTCCAAAGCAAGCTTATCGGCAGCGACGCTGTTGTGGCGAACAATCGATATGGCGAGACCTAGGCCGAACAGCCTAGGCAGAGAACATATAAAGAGTTGAGATCCCAGTAGATAAGTAAGGCAGAGCAAAGACCAGACGAAGATCATTCCTGCGGCAGAGTATCTGGTTGCTCCCTCGCCCTAAACAATTGGTATGGTCTTTCGGTCCATGTCTGCCAGATCTTGCACATGATCACGGCTCCGATGATGCCAAACCACTGTCGCCCGGGATGTGTTAGGTGCAATGGTCACAGAGGTTAATTTGATTTAATTTCACTTGTTTGTCAAATGGGATTTTTGTCTCACCAAGAGATTGCGCCAAGACTTATGTTTTTTAAATCAAATATAACCTTAAATTTCTGAAATAATAAAAGACATTTCTGACAAGGCTCTTGTCTAACTACTAGTAATTTGTCAAATTTCATAGTCTTGATTTGATTTAACGAAAGCACGGATTCTGGTTTAAGTATTTGCCAACAAGCATGTAATTTAGTTTATTAAATGGTTTTTGTCGCGGCTTTCTGGGCCCTACTAGAAAAGGCATACATCAACCACTCCGCCAAAAGGACAGCGCTTGTGGGTTTCGAAGCACACTTGATTGATGTATCCCTTACTGACTCTACTAGCTTGTCCAACCGAAATAAACTCTATCTAGAGATTGGCACGGCTTAGCTACTAAGACCTTTGATTCACATCTCAAACGCCTTGTCCTGGCATGCTCTTCGTCGAATAACTCTCCTAGTTCGGAATTAAAGGGTCTGAAACCTCCAGGCAACTCACAGTCTATGCATGATATGGCTGAAGAATCAAAGAGAAAGTCGTGGTTGTTGTATGGGAGAGGCAAGAGTGTGTTATCGATCATGGTCCAGGAGGATATTGCCGTGACAACCGAGGATGTATGATTGTGCCTGAAGAAGAAGAGTTGAACCTCGTCAGCTGACCAGGGCAAACCTCCTTCATTCTGCTCAACCCTGCCAGAGAGGTCACGTTTCAGCTTGCTATGGAAATAAGTTCAACTTTCTCATGTTTGATAGTATAAAGCTTTCGAAAGAGATCCTCCTACGAATTCAAAGCTCCGAACATGGACTATGACCCCATCTGGGACAATATGACATTTCAACATTGATACACTGTGGTAGGCGCAGCCACTTTCTCCTTTGATTAATGCTGCCTATTGTTGCCAGACCGTAGTTTAATCTCGCTCGCATGACCTTTGACATAAGAAGGCAACCTAGGCGCAGCACAGCCGGATTCCAAGGCTACTTCTACCAGGATATCTAGCATGGGTATGACTTTTAGACTGTGTTTCCATGTGTGCTTGCATACTTAGTTGCTCACATGGACAGAGAAAAGTAACTAATCTCCGACTCATTTGGTTAATATTCATATCAGTATTCATATCCTTCTACTCCCCACAGCAAATTTCTTGCTTTGACATATTGCTTTCGCATTCGTCCAGCTTCCTAGCAAGCATATTTCCAGAGAAGATTTGTCTTACATCTGTGTTACTGAACGTCATTCCGTCTACAGATACAAATAATGTATCCCCAACTACTCCGTGCCACTCTCCTCCGCTTACTCTGCCTGATCTCCCTCTCAACACAACCACCGCCCAAGATCTATCTCAGTTCCCCTCCTGTGCTGTATGGGCCCCTTCCCTCTCTCCGATAATGAAGAAACTAGGTCAAACTAATCTCTCCACTCTCAAGCAAACCCCCGCGTTCGCAAGCATCGGTTCTACAGGTTGCCAACTCGGCGACATTGCCTGCGTCTGCAAGCATACGTCCTTTATCGACAATTTGAAGCCGGTTGTTCAGAAACAATGCTCGGCCGAGGACCTGCAAAGTGCGTCTCCCTGCGTTCCCTATACCCCCTTTGTGCAGGGGTAGGAACCAGTCTCGGGCTGATCAGACGAGGCGCAAATGGGGGGAAAGATAACCTGATATGCAACTTTTCGCTAACTGTCTTACGGTTCTTCAGAAGTCGAAGCGTTTTCACGACAGCTCTGTGACAGTGTAGGGGTGAGTGTCAGTTTAGGTGCTGATGCGACCTCCTCTCCTTCCCCGTTGCCGTCATCTACAGGAGCAAACTCGGCTGCGACGGCGAATACATCCATCACGACGACAACGGCGACGGCAAGTGTCGTGGCGAGCAATGGGTGAGCACTGAAGCTATAGCGATTAAGTGGTTGGGCATAGTTGGCGGTTTCATTCTGTGGATGGGTTGGGTCTAGACAAGGAGAGAATCGCTTGGTTTCGAGGACTGGTAACGGATGGGCCAGATTCACGGGTAGAGCTCAATGACTTAGCTGAAGTGGGATCCGGGGCTTTGGGATGAGCCAGAGGAAAATGAGAGAAGAGCATTCTTTCACGGTTGTTGTATCTTGTCACTTACTTGTTGGGTGGGAATCAACATTCCAAGAAGACTATCTGACTTGGCCGTACGATTCCTGTTAGGATATGATAAACCCTCAATCCATTTCTGGATACCCTCTCACGTTCAGGAAGCAGGTAACGCGCTGATGATATCTTCAAAGTCAGAGATAGACTCACCAACAGGAGGAAATGTACTCAACAGGTAAAACACATGATTTGCGGACCCCGAGATGAAACCGGGCTGAAGAATGAAAGCTTAGATGCTGGTTAGTGAGTCGCAAACGAAGCCTGCCCAGGAAGCAGCTTCTCCGAGTTTGGTCAGTGTGTTGGCTAATCCACGTCCCCAAATTCTACCGTTACAGCGGCAACTGCTCCATGGGAGTCATTGAATACTACTCTCCAGTGAGGTTTGAAGCAAGGTGTTAAATCAAAGCGAAGTCGGCGCCAACTAGTCGCCTGCCGTTTTAGGCAATGCAGGGCATCACACATTTCATTGGTCAATCTCCAACTTGACTACCCCACCCCCGAAACGTGTCCCCCGCTCCCCGCTCCCGGCTCCCCACGCCTGCAGGAAATGGATCCGGATCCTGGGCCAGCAATACAAGGAGCTACCGTCCACTCGAACACACAGAATATTGAACCGCCGCCATAAACATCTCCAAACATCCATACCACACACAGACCTCAACAGTCTGCGCCTCTCTAAGAATCTACCATCTTCCATCCCAGCCAGTGCCTCAGCAATGGCCACCGCAGCGATAACGCTCCCCTCCGCCTCGCGG